TTTAAAAAGTTAAATGTCAAGTGAGAAATGAGGGAGTAAATTGTTTAAATGCTATTAGGGAGTGGTTGGTGTTGGGGAGATATAATTGATAACTCTGAAAACCCTATCTTTTTCTGAAAGAAGGACTCGATTATCAGAACATCCAGCCAGGTCAGTATTTTAGAAATATCAGCGTACTTTCATTCCTGAGCTAAAGGTTACCATAAACAAATTACGCTGGAGGTTAATCTGAATTGAAACTTTTCTTTTATTAGGTTATGATTGGAAGCTGGGATATCCATTTGATGTATTTTCTTCTATTGTAAACTGGCTAGTTTAGGAACATTTATGTACTGCCTACATCACTTAACCTCACTCAACTCACTACCATCAAGTCATTGTAGCTCATAATAACGTATGTCCCTGGCTGAAACATAGATAGACCTAAATTCTACCGGCAACATACATATGCTGTGGTATTTTCTGAAATTTTGGAACCTTTGGAAAAGCCCTGGTGGCACAAGCATTAAGTGCTCAGTGCTAAGTTTGGTGGTTTGAACCCACAAGCCGCTCCACAGGAGAATGCTGGGGCAGTCTGTGTCCATAAATATTTACAGTTTTGGGAATCTCTTGGACAGTTCTGTAGGCTTGCTATGAGTCAGAAATGACTCAATGGCAGTAGTTGGGTAGGCACTCTTTGACCAACACATGGTTTGGAGGTCTATTTGTGCTGGGACTGAGACACTACTACCACTTTTTTCTCTCTTTTAATACAAAACAACTTATTCTTGAACTTACTTATCAGTGAAAATCTCAACTGGTATCTTTATAGTTTAATTTAAAATCTCATAGTTGATCTTCATTTTCTTTTGTATCAGATTCCCCTAAATATAAGATTTGACTTTGCTGATGAAGGAAAATAGGCCTTCATTGTCTTGGTGTAGATAGCTGATTGATATTCAGCATTTTCTCAAATTTCCTTTACAGATTTTCTTCCCTTCTGGAAAATGAGATTTTAGATTAAACGTCCCTTTGATGGTGAACTTGCGCACTTCCTTGATGGTGTATTTGTGCTGCCTGCTGTATGCATTTTGGAAAAAAGTAGCGACATATTATTCACTGCAGAACTATTTTTAAAAGGAACAAAACACTAAAATATCCACACAATAGCATTATGAATAGATGAGTAGTTCATACAATTTAAAGACTGTGTTTTTTTCCTGTTTATTATTCTATTGTTGCCTCTGTTTAATTTTTTTTCTTGCATATTTCTCTTTGGAAGACTAAGCACATTTTGTTACTGTTTGATTTTTGTTTTCAAATAATGGACTGTTTTTGTTTTCTTGCAGAATACAAAGGACACCAGATAAAAGGAATCACAGAACCCAAATGAAATGCATACTTACCCATGTCACAAGTCAATGTTTCCTAGAGATTGGTTCCAAACATCTGTTGCTCTTTACCTGGCCAATATCAGTTAATATCAAGACAATATTGGAGGTAGACTGAAATTGGGAGACAAGAACAATGCACACCAGTTACACTTAAATCTGTCAGCCTCTCATCCCTGACCATCTATTTTTAACTATCAGACCAGGAAATAATAAACATCATTGAGATATAGTATCTAGGTGTTTCTTTGCGGTAATATCTGTCTGTGGATATAGACAATAGTAAGGATGAGACTCCTAGTTTTAGCATAAAGATACTTTGAACGAATATCTTTCTCTTCCATTTCACCAAAGAAGTAAAGAAATAATAATAATTTAGGACTCAGCCGTGCCTGGTCCTTATAGGCAGCACATGTGTTGATGGGGAACAGATTCAATCTGTCTGGGGAGGTCAGCATTGTGAGAGAAAACCAACTGATGCACCAATATATGTTTTGAGAGTTAGCAAAATGACATGAACAGTAAAAGCAGTTTTTAAATAAGTATAACAAATATCCCAAGAGAAATTTCCCGAATGCAAACCTGAATGCAGATCAAGCAGTTACAAAACATAAGCACTTAATGGCATTGGAAATAAAAAATAAAAAGAGAATAATTCAAAGGGATAGAGTGTGTAGTTGAACAGATATAAAGTGATTAAGAAGTGGATGAGAGTGCAAAGGAACTCTTCCAGACTGCACTAGAAAGTTAACAAAAGTCCGAACCGGTGAAGACAATGTTAGAGCAATGCTCAAGATGTATTGCTGAGTAGTTCTTATCTCCAGAGCAGGAGATGATCTTTTCTCTGAAATATTACTCCAGTCTGGGATGGAATTTGCCACATGTAAATTTAATCTCCACAGAGAAAACGCCTACTATGTGCAGACTACATTTCTCAGTTCCGGGAGGAATACTCGACTCTTTCAATGGTTTTCTTCTGTAGAGTCCACTGTATTTCACTCTTGGCTTCTAAAAACGATGCAATTCTGAAAGAAGTGTGCTTGCTTCTTTGCTTACACTAGCTCAGGTTCCTTTCTTTTATTGAATTCGGAGTTGAAGTATCAACTGAACATAATTAGGCTTGTGGGAAGCAGCTTTATTTATTATCTTAATGAGATAAAGATTAATTATGATACAAAAGACAATATAGCTGCAAATTGTAGCAAATTGTATATATGCAACTTTTTCCATTAATAATAATACACTGACATTTTATCTCTAAATACCTGTCTAACTGAGATCATTTCTTCTAATTTAATCATATTACTGGAATCCTAGGTCAGGTTTCTTTAGGGGCATGCAATGGTCAGAGCTATGAGAGACAGAACTGGGTGTTATCTATGAGTGGCATGAGGGACATTCATAGACACATGTCATTAACGTTTGTTTGGAGCCTGGGATGAAGTCACAACCGGACACCTTCAAAGTCCCCTTTGTCTTCTGTAAGTAAATAGAAAATTAAACTCATATTCATGAAATGAATTCAGGATTGTACTAATTTAACACCCTATCAATGTTATTGTGCATAACTCAAAGTAAACACATACAGCAGAGATTTCCTTTTCATTTTTCCTCGGACGTGGCCTATTAGAAAGTGATGGAAATGGAAAGATTACCAAGTGTTTAAATTTGAGGGGTGTGTGTGTGTGTGTGTGTGAGAGAGAGAGAGAGAGAGAGAGAGAGAGAAAGTGAGAGAGAGCGAGACGGACCAAGAGAGAAAGCGAGAAACTCAGAGAATGAGGTATGCAAAATACTTGATCATTGCCATTTAAAAGTATAGTTTATTTTTCTAAGGAAATATATTGTGGATCTGAGGGTCCACAATATGAAAGTATCCCAATGTGCTATTCATTTTCCATAAGAGAGATGGAAGGAAGAGGAAGAAGGTGCATGAAAATAAAGAAGGCACTAAAAGGAGGCTCATGTTTACAACAGGTGTGGATATTTAGTGCTTTGTGTGGTGCGCTTTAATTTCTCAGGTCATATGACTCAGCATATTAAGGGA